GCTTCCAGGGCCACCAAATTCATCTTCAAGTAAGGGAGACCAAAACAGGACACAATATTCCAGGTGTGATCTCATTAATAAAAATCAAAAGAACTGCGGATGCTGTAAATCAGGAACAAAAACAAAGTTGCTGGAAAAGCTCAGCAGGTCTGGCAGCATCTGTGGAGGAGAAAACAGAGTTAACGTTTCAGGTCCAGTGACCCTTCCACTCTACCCTTAACCCCTGGGACCTAAACTTTTTGATCTCATTAATGCTTTATATAATTGTAACAACACTTCTGTACTTTTCTAATTCAGTCCTTTTGTAATAAATGCCAGGGTAGCCTTTCTTTTTATATGCTGTATTTGCTTACCCACTTTCTGCAATTCATGCACAAAGATGCCCAGTTCCCTCCCGCTGATGCATTTTGAATCTGCTTCCCATTTAAATAATAATTTGCCTGTTTATTTTTCCTGCCAAAACGGACAACCTCACACTTATCTACATTAAACTCCATCTGCTAGATTCTGGCCCATTCTCCTAGTCTATCAATATCCATCTGTAAACTCTTATCACAGCCTGCTTTCCCACCTATCATCTGCAAATTTTGCTATGTTACACTCTGTCCCTACTTGCAAATCATTTATATCGATTGTAAATAGTTGAGGTCTGACAACTGAACCCTGTGACACCCCACTACCTACAGTTTTTCATCCAAAGAAGGACCCATTCATCCTTCTTTCTGTCAGTCAGCCAATCCTCTACACAAGTCAAGACTCTACCCTTAACCCCTGGGACCTAAACTTTTGGATCAGTCTTTTATTGGGCATCTTGTCACATGCCTTCTGGAAATCTAGATACACCACATCTACTGAATCCCCATTATCCACCATGCTGGTCACATCCTCAAACAACTCAGAGTTTGTAAAGTACACTTTACCCTTCATGAACAAAAACAAAGTTGCTGGAAAAGCTCAGCACGTCTGGCAGCATCTGTGAAGGAAAAAACAGTGCTAATGTTTTGGGTCCGGTGATCCTTCCTCAGAACTAGACCCAAAACGTTAGTTCTGTTTTTCCCTTCACACCTGCTGCCAGACCTGCTGAGCTTTTCCAGCAACTTTGTTTTTGTTCCTGATTTATAGCATCTGCAGTTCATTCGGTTTGCCCTTCATGAAACTGTGCTGACACTGGTGAATTCAGCTTTGTTTTGCCAAGAGTTCAGTTATCGCCTCCTTTATGATTGACTCCAGCAACTTCCCCACTACAGAAGTCAAATGAACTAGTCTGTAGTTTTTCATTTTTTGACTATCCCCATTTTTGATTCAGGGTGTCACATTAGCATGTTTCCAATCCACTGATACCTTTCCAAATTCCAGAGAATTTTGGAATATTGTAAATAATGCATCCACTATTTCTGCTGCCATCTCATTTTATATTGTAAAGTGCAAGCCATCAGGACTCAGACTTATCTGCCTTTAATTCCATCAGTTTACTTAATGCCTTCTCCCTAGTTACAGTAATTTCACCAAGTTCCTGTAGTACCTGCAGCTTTTGGGGAAGAAATTATTTCACTGTGAAAACACACAAAATATCGGTTACTGCCTCTGCCATTTCTGAGTTTCCCGTTACTACCTCACTGTTTTCGTCTTCTATCAGGGTCCCCCTCTACCGTCCCACCATTTCCACCACCTCCAGCAGGATACCACCACCAGACACATATTCCCCTCCCTTCCCTTGTCAGCATTCTACAGGGACCGTTCCCTCCAGACACTTTTGCCCACTCCTCCACTCCCAACACCTCCCCAGAACCCCACAATACCTTCCCATGCAATCACAGATAGTGTAACACTTACCTATTGACTTCCTGTCTCCTCACCATCTATCACGCCAAACACACCTTTCAGGTGAAGCAGCAATTTACACGCACTTGACTCAATCTAGTCTACTGTATTCACTGCTCACAACGTGCTCTCCTCTACATTGGAGAAACAAAGCACAGACTGGGTGACCACTTTATGGAACACCTATGTTCTGTCCACAAAAATGACGCTGAGCTTCCAGTTGCCTGCAAATTCAACACACCACCGTGTTCCCTGGCCAAAATCAATGTCTCAAGCTTGCAGTAGTGCTCCAGCTAAGCTCAGCACAAGCTGGAAGAACACTGACTCCTTTTTCGCTTGGGAACTTCAGCCTTCTGGACTCAATATCAAGTTCAAAAATTTTAGGGCTTGAGCATCTTCTTCCATGTCCTTATCCCAACTCCAGGCCTAATCATCACATGAGCTGCTACCACAAACAACCAACTATGAGCCACTAATGCTCCCCATTAGCAGCTATTCATTGTCCCAGACAGACTTTTACCCAATCCTTTGTCTGCACAACTTTTTTCTGTTTCTTGGCTCCATCTCCACCTGTCATTTACTCCTTCCCCTTCCCTACCCCCTATTTAGCAAATACACCAACCTCCTACACCGGCCCTAAACCCCACCTCTTCCTCCGTTACATTGATGACTGTATCGGCACCACCTCGTGCTCCCACGAGGAGCTCGAACAGTTCATCCACTTCACTAACACTTTCCACCCCAACATTAAGTTTATCTGGACCATCTCTAACACCTCTCTCCCCTTCCTGGACATCTCTGTCTCCATATCGGGCAACCACCTAGAAACCGATATTCATTTCAAGCCCACCAATCCCACAGCTACCTAGAATACTCCTCCTCCCACCCACCTTCCTGGAAAAATGCTATCCCCTATTCCCAATTCCTTCGCCTCCGCTGCAACTGCTCCCAGGATGAGGCATTCCACTCCCATACATCTCAGTTGTCCTCGTTTTCCAGGACCGTAACTTCCCCCCGTCAGTGGTCGAGAACGCCCTCGACCGTGTCTCCCACATCTCCCGCAACTCATCCCTCACACCCCGTCCACGCAATAAGAACCAAAAAAGAATCCCCCTCGTCCTCACGTACCACCCCACCAACCTCCGGATCCAACGCATCATCCTCCGACACTTCCGCCATCTGCAATCCGACCCCACCACCAAAGACATCTTTCCCTCCCCACACTTATCTGCTTTCCGGAGGGACCACTCTCTCCGTGACTCCCTTGTCCGCTCCACACTCCCCTCCAGCTCCACCACACCCGGCACTTTTCCCTGCAACCGCAGGAAGTGCTACACCTGCCCCCATACCTCCTCCCTCACCCCCATCCCAGGCCCCAAGAAGACTTTCCACATCAAGCAGATGTTCACCTGCACATCTGCTAATGTGGTATACTGCATCCGCTGTACCCGGTGTGGCTTCCTCTACATCGGGGAAACCAAGCGGAGGCTCGGGGACCGCTTTGCAGAACACCTACGCTCGGTTCGCAATAAACAACTGCACCTCCCAGTCGCGAACCATTTCAACTCCCCCTCCCAATCTTCAGACGACATGTCCATCCTGGGCATCCTGCAGTGCCACAACAATGCCACCCGAAGGTTGCAGGAACAGCAACTCATATTCCGCTTGGGAACCCTGCAGCCCAATGGTATCAATGTGGATTTCACAAGCTTCAAAATCTCCCCTCCCACTACTGCATCCCAAAACTAGTCCAGCTCGTCCCCGCCTCCCTAATCTGTTCTTCCTCCCACCTATCCCCTCCTCCCACCTCAAGCCACACCCCCATCTCCTACCGACGAACCTCATCCCGCCCCTTGACCTGTCCGTCCTCCCTGGACTGACCTATCCCCTCCCCAACTCCCCACCTACACTCACCTTTACTGGCCCCATCCCCGCCTCTTCGACCTGTTTGTTTCCTCTCCACCTATCCTCTCCTCTATCCATCTTCTATCCTCCTCCCACTCTCTCCCTATTTATTTCAGAACCCCCTTCCCCTCCCCCTTTTCTGATGAAGAGTCTAGGCCCAAAACGTCAGCCTTTCTGCTCCTATGATGCTGCTTGACCTGCTGTGTTCATCCAGCCCTGCACCTTGTTGTCTCTTTTCCAACTACAATCAGTTTTGAAGAAGGGTCAATGGACCCAAAACATCAATTCTGCTTTCTGTCCACAGATGCTGCCAGACCTGCAGAGTTTTTCCAGCCATTTCTATTTTTGTTTTCTACTTTTCATTTTCCTACTAATCTTATACATTTATTTACTTTAAATCTTTATCTCCAAATTTTAGCTAGTACTGTTATTACATTTTATCTAAGTAACTTAGAGCAACACATATGTAATAAACTAGACACTGATCTTGTTTAAAACAAAAAAACGACTATGTTACTGATATATTTTAAAAATATAAGTACTGACGATTAAAGGGGATCACTGACAAGCTTATGCAAGTTCTTAGTTAAAAGACCAATCCAAGGACGTGTGGGATGTGTGGCCATGTCACGTCACTATTTTCCATAATATTAACTCAATTTTTTCACATTAGATTTATAACATTGGATATATGCTATATTTATAGAGTTCTAGTGCATCATCAGATGATGCTCACAGAAAATACTGCACCCTTTATATGTACGACTGAATCTGAAACAATTGGAGCAGAAGTACATGGAAAGTAGACAGACATTACTTTTTTGTTCATCCCTAGATGCTTTGAGAGGATGTTATGAGATGCATTCTTGAATTGCTGTATTTCTTCAAGTTTTGGTAGACCCATATTGCTGATTTAATTAAACATCTAATCATTTGCATCTGTCCCCCAGTCACTAATCTGATTTGTCTCAAATCACGTATGCTCGTTGTTCTGAAGAGTCATACCAAACTCAAAAGGTTAACTGTTTCTCTCTCCACAGATGCTGCCAGACCCGAGTTTCTTTGATGTTCTCCGTGCTTAATCCAAGTTCAAGTTAGTTGATTTCTTTTGAAAGGTAGATTTGAGTATTTCTGCTAGGGAGTTTTGATGTGTATTTTAGTGGGGTGTAAAACTCCAAGATGGAAAAACTTGCATCAATCACAGAAACCAGACAACCAACCAGCATTGTAAAATTTACAAAACAAATTATATATGATATCAAACAGAAGCTCACCACTTCAAAGGTACTCCTTCGTATTCAAACCACATCTCTCCTATATCCTCTTGTCTCATTACTTTCTGGAAGTGCTTTTTAGCTTTGTCAGTTACCAGCATCAAATAACTCACTCTTGGTAACAGCAGCTGAAAAAAAATTCAGCAAGTTAGCACATTTATAGTCTTTGTAAACATGCCAAAGTCAGATAGGTTTTTATGATGACAGAATCGTGGGAAGTGTCGGGAGCGAATTCTGTGGAAATGAACAGTCACAAAAATCTCTAACTTGTACCCAAAAAGTGGTGTTGACATCTATCTTTTACTTAGAAGCTCAAGTCAAATATTTCTAAACAAGGTTTAATTGAAAATTCAATTTTACCCTTATCTGATATACTGTCACTAATATCAATTTTTTTAAAATAACTATTTTTTCTAAATTGTGTATTTTTTTTAAATGGAAGTTACAACCATGTGTACCTGCTCCCCCGGTCACGAAGCTGATCTTTCCCACATCCTCTATGCTTGGTGTTGCTCTTTGAAACAACGAGGGTGTATAATAGAGATAACAAGGCGTAGAGCTGGATGAACACAGCAGACCAAGCAGCATCAGAGGAGCAGGAGGATAAAAGCTCACAGTTCACTTTTCTTACGCTCCTTTTGGACAGGCCTGGCATTCGACTCAACATTATTACATTCTTAAATTTATTTCAGACTGTGCTGTGATTACATACGCAGAGAAGCAGCTTTTTATAAACTCTCTTCAGACGTTTCTCTGCTAGAAGGATTCATTATGACAGCATTGTTAATTTTGAGAATGAGAACATGGGAGAGCCCATTACACCAATATGTTAAATGGAACATTTTCCCGATTGTCCATTTCTCCTTAATTAGCCAATCTTCTATCCTTGCAACCACATCACACTCTACACCATGAGCTCTGATTTTGTATGACACTATGTCCTACATTATCAAATGTCCTTTTGGAAATCCAAATCTTTATGTTTGGAAGCTCTTCACTGTCAATCATCAGCCTGCACAAGTGCCTACTCCTTCCTCTTCAACTTTCCAACTCTCCCTTTATGCAACTATAATGAGTGTTACAAGCAGGGCAACACAACAGATTAGCGCAGATCAACAATAATTTCCAAGTTTTCACTTAAGTATTCTGGTTAGAATACGTTTATGTATATGACAACCAAGGCTCAGTTAGGAGCTCACATTCCTTGGAGTCAAAAGGTTGTGTATTGAAGTCTCACTCCCAAGCCTGAGCACAAAAAAAGAGTCAACATTCTAGTGCAGTACTGATGAGCCTGCAATGTCGGAGGTGCCATCTTTGAGATGAAAGATTAATCCAAAGCACTGTCTGCCTTGTCAAGTGGATTTAAAATATCCCATGACACAATTTAGAAAAACAGCACAGCAGTTATCCCCAATGTGTTGGCCTTTATTTATTCGAGGATCAACACAGAAAAACAGAATATCTGACCATTATCAGAATGCTGCTTGAGTTTGGTGTGCATAAGTTAGTATGCACAATTACTATATTACAACATTAAATGTAAAGCATTTTGCACACCAGGTCGGTACGATGTTACGTGCAGAATCTTTTAAATGTTCAAACAAAGCAGGAACAGAAGTTCTAAGAGTGAACAAACATTAAATTGTAATACAGAGGAGTTTGTCTTGCAATGCATTTGACCCTGAAATTAGTTCATTCGAGACTTGGTAAAGGTGGAACTTCTGTATCATCCAAAAACAAGTTGTTTAGACCATAAGATGCAAGAGCAGAATTAGGCCACTCAGCCAATCGGGTCTGCTCCACCTTTAGATCTTGGCTGTTAAGTTTCTCGATCCCATTCTCCTGCCTCTGCCCCGTAACCCTTGATCCCCTCACTAATCGAGAACCTGTCTACCTCGGTCTTAAATACACTCAATGACTTGGCTTTCACAGCCTTCTGTGACAATGAATTCCACAGGTTCACCACCCTTTGGCTGAAGAAATTCTTTATCTCAGTTATAAAGGGATATCCCTTCACTCTGAGCCTATGTCTTCAGGTCCCTGTATCTCCGATTACTGGAAACATCTTCGTGTCCATTCTATCCAGGTTTCTCAGTATCCTATAAGTTTCAATGAGATCCCACCCTCATCATTCTAAACTCAAGAGTACATACCCAGAGTCCTCAACCATTCTTCATATGACAGGCCCTTTATCATCGGGTTCAGTCTTGTAAACCTCCTCTCGACCTCTCCAACACCAGCACATCCTTCCTCAGATACGCAGCACAAAACTACACACAATATTCCAAATGCCGTCTGACCAGAGCCTTATACATCGTGAACAGTATATCACTGCTCTTTTAATCAGCCCTCATTAAATGAATGCTAACATTGTATTTGCCTTCCCAACTACCGACTGAACCTGCATGCTAACCTTAAAAGAATCCTGAATTAGGATGCCTAAGTCAATTTGTGCTTCAGATTTCTGAAGCCTTTCCCAATTTAGAACACAGACTATACCTCCACTCTTCCTACCAAAAAGTGCACAACCTTAGACTTTACCACATTATATTCCATCTGCCACTTCTTTGCTCACTCTCCTACCTTGTCAAAGTCCTTCTGTAGCCTCCCCGCTTCCTCAACATTACCTTTCCCTCCAACAATCTTTGTGTCACTTGCAAACCTAGCAACAATGCCCTCAGTTCCTTCATCCAGATCATTAATGTTTAACACAAATAGTTGAGGTCCCATTAGGGACTCCTGCGGAAGTTCACTAGTCACTGGCTGTCATCCTGAAAAAGACCCCTTTATCCCCACTCTCTGCCTTTGGCCGGTCAACCAATTCTCTACTCATGCGAGTACCTTGCCCCTAAAACCATGGACTCTTCTGTTATTTAACAGCCTCCCTGCACAGGGCCTTGTCAAAGGCCTCTTGAAATTCAAACAGCTCAGAACCACTGGCTTTCTTCAGTCTAAATTGTTTGTTACCTCTTCGAAGAATTCTAACAGATTTGTCAGGCAAGACCTCCCCTTGACGAAGCCATGCTGACTCTGTAATATTTTACAATGCACTTGCAAGTACTCCACAATCTCATCCTTAATAATGGACTCTAAAATTCTACCAACAATCGAGGTGAGGCTAACTGGCCTATAATTTCCTGTTTTCTGCCTCCCTTCCATCTTAAACAGGAGTGTTACAGTAGTTATGTTCCAGTCCTCTGGGACCCTCCCTGACTCCAGTGATTCCCGAAAGATTACCACCAATGCCTCTCCAATCTCCTCAGTTACCACCTTCAGAACTCTGGGGTGTAGTCCATCTGGTCTGGGTGATTTATCCACCTGCAGGCCTCTCTGCTTTCCCAGTACCTTTTCCTTAGTGATGGTCGCTACAATCACTTCTGTCCCCTGACTCTCATGAAGTTTTGGTATACTCATGGTGTCTTCCACTGTGAAGACTAACGCAAAGTAACTATTCGGTACCTCTACTATTTCTTTGATCCCCATTACTACTTTTTTAGTTTCATTTCCCAGCAATCCAATGTCCACTCTTGCCTCTCTCTTACCTTTTATACATCTAAGAAAAACTCTTGCAATCTGCTTTTATATTACTAGTTAGCATACCCTCACTTAATTCTCTTCTTCCCCGCCCCCACCCCGGCAATGCTTTGTTAAGAAATCTTCTGCTGGTTTTTGAAGGCTTCCCACTAAAGCTTCATCACATTGTACGTTCTATCTTTTCTTTTGCTTTTATGCTGTCTCTGATTTCCCTTGTCAGCCATGGTTGCTTCACTTGCCTCTTGTATGTTTCTTCTTCGGGATGATTTCTGCTGTGCCTCCTGATTACTCCCAGAATCTCCTGCCATTGCTGCACCAGTCTTCCCTGCTAGGTTCCCTTTCCAATCAATTCAGGTTAGTACCTCTCTCATGTCTTTGTAGTTACCTTTACTCAACTGTAATACCGTTACATTTGATTCCAGCTTCTCCCTCTGAAACGGCAAGTTGATTTCTAACATATAATGATCACTGCCACCCCTAGGGGCTCTTTCATCTTAAGATCCCTAATCAAGTTGGCCTCATTACACCAAATCCAAAATTGCCTACTCCATAGCAGGATCTACCTCAAGCTGCTCCAAAAAAAAAATCTCAGAATTCCTTTCCTCGGGATCTGCTACCAACCTGATTTTCCCAGTCCACCTACATATTGAAGTCCACCATGTTTATTGTAATAGTGCCCCTCTTACACGCCTTTTCTATCTTCTGATTTATTTTCTGCCTCACATCCTGACTGCTCTAGGAGGCCTTTGCGGCTCCTCAACTCTACCTACACAGATTCCACTCCTTCCGACTGTATATGATTTCTTGCTATCAATTTAATTTCATTTCTTACTTACAAGGCAACCACGTCCTCTCTGCCCATCCTTTCAATGTATCCTTGGATATTCAGTTCCCAACCCTGATCCCCTGGCAGCCACATCTGTGATACCCACAACATCATACCTGCCAATTTCAATCTGTGCTACAAGTTTATTTACCTTGTTTCCTATACTGAATGCATTCAAGTACAATACCCTTGTCCTGCGTTGACTGCCCCCTTCTCATAGTTACCCTCTTCTCTGCTGTGCCTGATGTTAGATTCCTGACTTTTTCCATACTGTCTGCCCTATTACTTGTTTTGGAAACATTAATGATCTCTGCTGAGCCCTCCCCCTCTTTAAATTCTTCCATAATTTTCCATGCAACTGAACCTACCCACACGATTTAGTTTAAACACCTATCCACAGCAATAGGTTTGTGATTCGCCAGGACTCTGGCCCCAGCATGATTCAGGTAGAGCCCAATCCATTGGAACAGCTCCCTTCTTCCTGTACTGGTGCCATTGTCCGAGGAATTCAAATGCATTTCTCCCACACCAATCTTTGAGCCACAAGTTTACCTCTAATCTTATTGACCCTGTGCCAATTAGCTTGCAGTTAAAACATTTCAAACTAGAGGGGGTCAACTACTCCTGGATAGTTTCTATCAGCATGGTGGGCAGGGGAAAAAAAGAAAAACAGTCAACAGACAAGAGGGTAAACATCCCTCTGTCACAAATACACCACTTGTTTTTCATCAAATAAATTGTTCAAACCAAAATCAGATGTTTAAGTGTCCCTAGTTACTAACAGAATATATAGAAGTACAGCCCATTCATTTTAAGTGATTTGCACTTAATGCCTCAATCATAATTTGAACCAGTCTTGCACCATTCCATAAAGCCAAAGATATACAAACAAGTATTTTCTTTCCTCAGACTTACATAATAAGGTTCAGCCTCTCTTTCAGTTACTTCATCCTGAGATAAAGTGAAACAGGTTGGTATTCTTCCAAACCAAACATCCCGTAATACATCTCTGTCATCTGTCATTTTTCCAACACTCTATGTAGCACATAGAGACAGGTGCGTCTGTCACAGCTTTGGGAATAAAAAAGAATAAGTACACATTCAGCTGGTAAAACCCTGGGCAACACTGAAGCTGTGTTCAACTCTAACATTTTTCTCCCTTTCCATTAACCTAAAATAAATCCTTCATAATAGCATGATTGAACTTAAAAAAAGCCTGAGTGTAAAGAGAGAGTGTATATCCATCAACACCATCAAGCAATTACTTCATACTTTCTACTCAAAACTAATCAGCTCACTTTCATAATCAAGTTGATTCCGGAGTTGAGGGGGTTGGCTTATGAGGACGGACTGAGTAGATTGGGATTATATTCATTGGAATTCGGAAGACTGAGGGGGGATCTTATGGAAACATATAAAATGATGAAGGGAATAGATAAGATACAAGTAGAGAGGATGTTTCCACTGGCAGGTGAAGCTAGGACAAGAGGGCATAGCCTCAAGATTAGAGGGAGCAGATTTAGGACTGAACTGAGAAGGAATTTCTTCACCCAGAGGGTTGTTAATCTATGGAATTCCTTGCCCAGTGAAGTAGTTGACGCTACTTCAGTAAATGTTTCTAAAAAAAAGGTAGATTTTTTTTGAACAATAAAGGAATTAAGGGATACGGTGAGAACGCGGGTAAGTGGATCGGAGTCCACGAAAGGATCAGCCATGATCTTATTGAACGGCGGAGCAGGCTCGAAGGGCCAGACGGCCTACTCCTGCTCCTAGTTCTTGTGTTCTTATGTAAATTCTTGCCAAATTATAAGAAATATGAGTAGGCCAAACAACCCTTTGAATCTGTTCTGCTATTTAAGAGTCATGGTTCATCTTCTAACTCCACCTTCCCACACTATTCCTCTATCTTGATTCCCTTACTCCCTAAAAGTCTATCAATTTCTGTCCTAATGTCTTATCGCAGTCTGAAACTGATAATCCTTTATTCTGAGGTTGCGAGCCTTAGTTGTAGACTTCATCTCCCCTATTAAGTCTCTTAAGAATTTTGTGTTTCAATTAGATCAATTCTCAATCTTTTAAATCTATGCAACCTCGCATCCTAAGACACTCCCCTCAGCCCAGGTACCAGTCCACAGAACCTTTGTAATATTTGTTTCATGGCTAGTACATCTTCCATAGACAAGGAGGCCAAAAATGTACACGCAACTCTCTATTCTCAAAAATAATGAATATAATTTTAAAACATTGTCATATTTGTACTCTAATACTTTTGTAATAAAAGCTCTCATACTATTTTCTTTCACATCGAGTGCTGTACCCTCAAGTTAACTTCATGATGGCATGTATAAAGACATTTAGGTCACTGAATAGTAACAGTATACGTCCCAAACTCTTAACTTTAAAAAAAATCTGAAATGGATAACTCGGGATCTCTCCAATTATATTCCACGTATGTTTTAGTCCAATCAATTAATATAGACAAGAGTATCTCAAACTCAGATGTATAAATGATGAAGCATTTCAAACTGTGTAGCTTGAAATCTCTGGTTAAGGCAACGCTATTTTATAAGGAAGCTAAGGTTCTCCGAATGCCCTTTTCTGATCGGTGTCGCAAAACTTCACCTCATCCCTAGGCCCAGATACATGTATATACAAGGAAAGGATAGCAAAACGCGACGTCGTCAAATAAGAGGAAAGACAATAAAATTTCCGACAGCATCCACGACCTTCTGACAAGCCGTCCGGAAATTGTTTCGTTTTAAACATACGTATGTGAAATCCTCTGATTTTTTGCAGGGAAACTTAATTAATTAAACAGCTCCGAACTAACGGGCAATCGTGGGCAAAGTCGGACACTGATTTTCACGGTTTAAAACCCCGAAGGAAGTACTGTCTCTCATGTCAAACCATATCACTCATTCCCTTTCCCACCCCCCTCCAACTGTCCAGCCTCTTCTTTCAAGAATCAAAATCTGGATGTCAATTCCTCCCAAACTGGAGAAAACATACCAAACACCTTCCCTCCGCGGCAACGCGCACAGGCCAGGACACACACCCCTCCCCGGGTGGACGCGCACGCCCCCACCTCTCCTGTCCACGGGGACGCGCACGCCCCGGAACGCGCTTCTGTCCCCGGGAAGCACACGCCCCGCTTCTCTACCCGCACCCTCACTCCCTGGGGTAGGGGACGCCACTCCTCCTTTCCCCCGAGGACGTACAGGCCCCAATCCTACCCCATGCCCCAGCGACGGGCATAGCCGTAACCCCACCCTCCCACAAGGCCGCCTTCAGAAACAGTGAAGAGACACAAGCGGCTCACGCGGAGGTTTAAGACCTGTCATCTTACCCGAGCTTTCCTTTCCTCCCCTCCCGCACGGATATACTACTCCGATCCGTCCGCTTCCTGCCGCCGGCTCATTCACGGAATCGAACCCCGACCTCGCGCACAACCTGCGTCCTCAGCACGTGACCACCACCGGCGGCAGGATGGGCGCGGACCAGGTGAGGGCGGTGCCACAGCGCCACTGCTGCCTTGGAGGAAGCACGACTGCCATGTGGTGCAGAGTGGGCAGTGTAGCTTCAATGTGCTGAGCTTCACCAGCGCTTTTGTGTTTTTGCATCTTCTAAATCGACTGGGACAGTCAGCTGGGAGCAGGAATAGGCCATTGAGCTTGCCCCATCATTGAATTAGATCCTAGCTGATCATTCATCTCAATGCTACTCTTCTGAAAGAACTGCGGATGCTGTAAATCAGGAACAAAAACAAAGTTGCTAGAAAAGCTCAGCAGGTCTGGCAGTATCTGTGAAGGAAAAAACAGAGTTAACATTTCAGATCCGGTGACCCTTCCTCAGAAC